TTGAGGCCATATCACTCCGATAGAGATTTCTTTCCCGCCGTGCTGCTTTCGTTGCAAATCTTCGAAGCATCCGGTAATCAGGATCACCTGACACTCATGCTTTTGTAGCTTTTTCAAAAGTTGGACAATTGCTTCGGATACCCAACTAGCACACCACCTACTAGTATGCCCTAGCGGCTGACTTTCGGAGACATTCCTTTAGTTTTGACCAGTATTCATTTACTGTTCCAGAAAAATATTGATGTTTGTATCACTGAGATGCTTCAATAATTCACTTTAAAATAAGCTCATTGCCCCCGAATTTTTTAGTTTAAGATAGTTGAAGGATCTTGGGGAGTGCTGTTTTCTACGAGTTGTCAGTTATATGCGGATCTTGGCTCGAACCTTCTACGGTAGGGATGATTATCTAGTACGGAACTCTTCCAACGGTGACTGACTAAGATATAATCAATCTGGTTGAAGTGTTAATTATCCGGGGAGTTTCCGCGTGACTAATTATTTTTAACGATGCTGAAAGTAAGTATTAATAATAAAAAGTTCGTGCTCTTCATTGACGAATGCTATGATGCCATAATTGCCAACTGTAGAGGTGATCGCAGCAGCATTATGTCCTACACGTGCATTCCAGTCTCCCTCTACTATGACGATGTCATGTTTTGGTAGAAACTTTGTTAGCATTTGAAGTTCCGTATCAAACTTATATTTATCATGTTCTGCCGACAGAACTGGAGCAATGTTTGAAATATTGCAGAACTTACTCTTAAAACGGGCTTAGGCCATACGGACGCTTACCACTCAATCAAAGCGGAAGGGGCTTTGTCAGATATGACAATCGCCATGCCATTTCGTCCCGAGTTATCCGAAGCACCACAGTGATATAACCAGTACCTCTGCTACGAACTAGGATTAATAATCACTCGAGAAATAAGGAAGACGGACCTCCGACAAGTAAGTATCGACACGATATTTAGAGGGTGTGGACAGTGATCGCTTGCAATGTCCATAAGCGTTCCACGTCGATGCGGCTAAAACATCACCACGCGTGCAGAGAACTGTTCCTCTTGATAGGTTTTGAGCAATTACTCTGGCTTACGAGTACATTTTATTTATCAGCCTTGGGATCGCTTTAAGCCCGGATTGTGCACTTATCGCATGTACCACCGGGCTGAAAGTATAATGCGCATAGCGAGATACGGACGCCATATCAAAAATATCTGACCACAGAGTCACTTGGGGGTAAAGATACAGGTGAGTCCCCAACAGCCACCTGGATTTTTGACATAATGACAGGTTTTATTTCTGCCAAAGACAAAAAAATTAAATTTAAAGAAAATAATAAAATAGTTAAATTTAAGAAAAAAATATATATATATATATAATTCGATTTAATTTATTCATAATTTATTTATAATTTGATTTATAATTTATTTCATTTAATTGATTTTATTTTAATCGTTGTTTGGTAAAAAATAAAAAAATAAAAATAAAAAAATAAGAAAATTAAAAGTTTAAAAATTAAAAATTAAAAGAAGACTTAGCTGAACTGTGATCAGAAATAAAAAATAAATTCACAAAAAAAAATCGAGAATTTTTTTTGAAAAAGGCCGCTCAGCAAAAAAAATTTTTTTTAAAGCCATCCCGAGTAGTAACCAAATTTTCAGGCTTCGCTAAGAAGGAATCGCTTGAATTAAAGGTAATCTATTATTACTTCATAAATAGAATAAATCTCTGGCAAATTACGGAGCTGCAGAGAATATACAAGAGTATATTATCGATCAACCAATTTTTATATGCGTATGCATGGGTTTATCTGTAACATCTCTTTCAAAACACGAATCGCTGCGTCAAGATTTATTTTCTCTCCTAGTTTTCAAATGCGCGATAGAACGGATTAGGAAGACTACTAGTTAGCATTTAAGATTATAAAGATGAGTCCAGAGCGTAATATAATGCTTCTTGAATAGGCTAATGTTGTTTTTTTGCTTATAGTGCTTACGGATTTTTGAGGAAGTGGAACAACGTTTCAAAAAATAGTCCTTCAAATTAATATAAATAAGATAAAACTCTTATATACACGCTGATTGCAATTTCTACAAATCCATCTCAGACCTGAAATTTCAAACGTCCCAGTTCTGTAGCTCGGGCTACCTTGTTCCGGTGTCTGGCAAAACTTCTATGGAATGGCCGTAAAATCATCAAAAAAAAGTCCGCAATTATCCACTTTTAGCATACACAGTCCTATTGAAGGCTTGCGAAAAATGGTCGATAGAATAAAAGGTATCAGAAAACCATCTACTGTTGACCAAATGGCTTATGTCTTCGCCAGGCAGGAACAAACTCAGATGATCGCATTTGCTTGAATATCATCCATATTAACGTATAGCATGAGACGATCGGGAAGTTCTTCTTCCAGCTGCTAGTGGAACCAACCAAATCAGAAAGGTTTTGCAAAAAAAAGAAGTATAAGAAGTACAAAAGAAGTATAAATATAAGAAGTATCATCAAAAAACTGACCGTTTTGTTTTTTTGCCAGAATTTCTTCCAGCTGTTGCGCATAATCATTAATCGCTATTTTCTTCATTGCCATAGTTGAAAATCTTTAAAAAATTTATATTTAAAAATTTTTAAAGATTCACATCTTTGCAGTAAAAGAAATTAATTTCAGAAGAAAATTGATTTCGCTCTTTTTTCAAAATTTTTAAATTTGCAATCGAAGAAAAATTCCATTCAAAATACAAACTGGCCAAATATCTTCGAGATGCGCAGCAATTTCTATCAACTTCTATCTTAACAAATAAAAGTACGATTCCAAAAAATAGTGAATAACTGGCAAAATATCAGATCAACCATTAAAATATTAAATATTAAAAGAATAGATAAAAATAGAAAAATTCAATTTTCTCAATTTTTTAATTTTTTTATAATTAACGCAATATTATAATAATGCGATGATAATAATATTATAAAAGTAGTAATAACGACAACGCAATAATAACTGCAATAATTATAATAATGATAGTAATGATAACAATAATATAATGATAATAATAAATAAAAATAATAAAGCAATAATAACAAATAATAATTCTTTATATATATATTAATATACATCAAATAATAAAATAAGCGGAAAATTAGACTGGTGAGACTGGTGCGAAAAAGCAGGAACAACGCCACCGCAGCAATTATCGCTATTAAACGAGATAAACGAGCGAATAGCGAATAGACGCGGCCCTAGCAGATGATTTCATGGCGCGCTGCATTGTTTACTGTGGGTAAGGCTAAGGAGCAGCTACGATGACCAGAAACATCAACTCGGCTACTGTGACCCGCCGCTTACTATATATATATATATATATATATATCGAATAAGACTATAGCAAATATGAGATATTAGGTCTAAAACGACTGCAAAAATATCCTATAGAGTCGATCACTCGGTACTCTTTTGCCTCATGCGCAAGCATCGCCTCACCCTCGTCTCCCTCGTCTCCCTCACCACATCGACGCCTTCTGAGGGGAGCTCCTTCGTCAGCCTTCTTTCTTTAGCAGTCAAATTTCACAAATATTGCATAGAACAACTTTAAACCATTATAAATTTGGCGAAATTTATTAATTCATTTAGTAGATTTGAGTAGATTTTCGATTCCGTAATTATTCAGTAAAAATCCTATAAACGAAAGATTTAATGACGGAAAGCCTTCGTCATCGCCAAATGTTGTACCACGGCCCAAGTGCAATATTGCAGTATTTGTGCTGTGGTGGAGGAATAATAGTCGCATCAAATGAGCCTCTCGGCCCGCTCTGCAAATTCGCAAACTTATCTTTCCATTTAAAGAATTCAGCCAAATAGATGAATGCGTTTATGAAAAAATCCGTGCCAGTTCTAAGGGAATTTTTTGTTATTTTACGGCTCCCTCAGTGGCACTGAAATAATTTTAAAAGTGTTGGGAAATTCGTGTATTATTATTATATTGAAAAAGCATTTAATGAATTGTATCGAAATGAATAAAATAAAAAGTTTTATTTTCAATGAAGAAAGGGTTTTAAATAGTTTCCTCTTTTTTTTGACATGAGTAAACCTTTCATGGTAACAAAAATCCGTGTGGCTGCAGAGCTCATCTGTATTTCTGTCGCGAAATGACTCTATGATGAAAGGGTCAGGTCTCTTTAACGCGATATCCGCGTCTCATGGTACTTTTGAGCCGAAGCGACAAATATGCCATCCGGGTATAATATAATTAATGATTGATAACAATAATAATAATAATGAGACGTTTTATACTGGCTCCTATTTCTACTTCTTACGTCGATAATATTGATCTCTCGGAATCTTTTTTTCTTATTCGATTCAGTGCTGACAGTAATAGAAGCCATTCCTTTTTTCATCGTATAAGTCCATATATCGCTGGTTCCTCTATACGTTCGAAATCTTTTCAGACTGAATCAGTCCAGGTCTTGATTAGCCTATCTCACTTTTGACGGTAACCATCATAGGGTTCCGCAAATAGCGAAATATGTGGCGAAATAAGTAGCGAAATTGTTCCCAGATCATTAATTTGAAATAGTTGAAAGACCGAAAGCATGTATTAATAACAAAGAGTTCATGCTCTTCGGCGAGGCGAAGAAAGCATTTTCCATAGGCGCACTGGACCCCAATGCCATATTTGCCAATTACCGAATTCATCGTAATGGGATCATAACCTATATGCGTATTCCAGTCTCGCCCAATTATGACCATGTCACCTCTCGGTGGAAATGTTGTTAATAGTTGAAGCATCTCATTTAACTTGCCCTTATCGCGGTCATATGCTTATAAATTTGGAGCATATACGCTGTTGACCGAGATATTGGAGATAGAACTTTCTTTTGAAACGCGCGTACGGTCATTTACTGGCTTCCACTCAATCAGAGCAGATCGAGCCTTTTCAGGCATGACGATCGCTATACCATTTCGCCCTAAGTTATCCGAGACACCATAGTGATATGGCTAATATCTTTGCTCAGAACCAGGTTTATTAATTACTCGGGAGCCGACATGAGAAAGACGAATCTCCTACAAACAAGCCACATCCACGCGGTATTTAGAAACGTTGTGGACAGTGATCGCCTGGCTAACAATTTTCATTGACGTTCCAAGCAACCAGCATTTCGCCGCTCTCACAAAGTATTAGCGGATAGGTCCTCGCCTCCCTTAACGTGTTTTGAGTATTGTCTCGATTCGCGAGCAAATTCTATGCTTGTGCCTTGGAATGATTTTATTACAATTATTACGCCAGGATATATTTATCGTATGTACCACCGGATCAGAAGTGTCATGCGCCTCAGAAGATGCAGAAGTCGTGTTAAATATTGGCAAATTTTGATTAGTTAGCAATAGTATTATAATATTATTAAAATAAAATAATATTATCGGTTGTTTCGTATTTTGATTTGACTAAAGCTGAAGCATTTGGTACGGTAGCTGGTCACCATTAATAAATATGGCTTTATGAACGGCTTTACACGTGGATCTCAGATTGCTTAATGAACCGATAGCAAGCTGCAGTCTTTCAGAATGGCTTCGATAAAATCATGGCATCTCTCAAGAGTAGTTGTATCGCACCACTATTTTAATAAATATTATTTATATCACCAAAGTTGTATTAAATGCTACCATTTATCCTTATACTGAACGCTATAAAATTTATAATTCTCTTTAGATAATTTATACCTTTATGATTATCTTTTCCATCCAAAAGCGTTCGAAAGGACCCTATCCTCCTAATCCCATTATTAATGGTAAAATAATCAGACGTATCTTGAATATCTCAAATTTTGGCATAGTTGTGGATAAAGATTTCGACATTCAATAATAAAGAAATCTTCAAAAGAGATTTTTTGGTTGAAAAAAAACTGAAAAAAACTTTCTTATCAAAATATACAAAGCTTGTTCGACCTCTTCTCGAGGGCCTAAATACAATCTGTTCTCGTAGATACCGCCAATCAACTGAATTAATTGAAAGATTTCAATACATCATCTTTTTCCTAACAGTAATCTTAGTTATGAAACACAACTTCAAGTATATAACCTAGATTCTCTCCAATTAAATTAAACAAGATTTAAGTTTTACATGTAAAATTCTATATGGTTATATCAAATTCTCCGAATGTCATAATTTTAGGTCACTAAAGAAGATTTGATGGGCTAAAATTATTAAAATCTATTTGCAGAACTAATTGGAACTCATTAGAACTCATGACTATTTCATTTGAGCCAGCAATTACTGAATTGGCTGTTTGTGCATCATCACTGGTCATTTTTTAAAAAAAAAAAGTTTAAGTAATACCATCCACGCCACTATTTAAATGCGTCACATCAAGTATGAAGTCTGAAATACCTCTCGCCATGCGACTAAGAGCCAGGAATACATTCAGTTCGATTCGTGTCATTCTGTGATTTCCAATTATTTGTATTGTTTCTTTTCTTATAGTTAGTTTTCGTCATATTTCTTTTTATATCAACTTTATATCAATATCACTTTTTCATTTGGTACTATTTGTTATTATTAATGTAAGCACTTGCCCAGCCTGTTTTTCAAATAAATAAATTATAAATAAATTATGAGCTATGGATTTTCCCCTGCAGAGAGCAAATTGATAACCAGAATTTAAACTATTTGCCTCAAGTCATATTTCTCATTGCATGTGACCACATCAACCATCATTTCGTAGTAATCGAACCGTAATTTACAAAATTAAATATTTTTAAAAATACACCATAATATGACATCTAATCATCCATTATTATGAAACTGTTTTCCTCTTGGGCTATCAATCCTTTTCTGTTGAGGACTATCGTGATTTCGTTTCTTCTTCCTTTTACGCAGTATTAAGTAGAAGCCGTAAACACATTTCAAACTGAAATACGGGCTGCAGCGATGTCAAAAAAATAATCCCTATTTCGACGTTGATACTGCATCGATAGATTTCCAAATTAATTGCTGATTCTACTCAGATATCCCAGAATGCTCGCTTCGTCTTCGGAAGCATAAACACATACAAACATACGCTTCATTTCCCACTTATACTTGTGATTTTACTTATACATTTACATTTGAAAAAGAATCAAAGCACTACTAAAAAAAATTTTCCAGCGTTTCGCCTCTTTTTGTAAATTACGAAACTATAGAAACTAAGCGTAAAGATAATGAAGCTGCAAATGTTACAAGCCGAAAAATTTTAAGAAATCAATTTGTGCAGAACCATGTTTAAGTGGGGATAATTGCTCAGTGGTTGTTGCTGCTCAATTGGGAAAGCCAGTACTGAGGTTCTATTCGTCGCAGAAATAAACCTGTCCAAGCATCCACTGGCGACTCACCTGTATTTCTATCACCAACGAACTCCTGGGATGTTTGTCCAGTGCAACAAGCCAGCGGAGCGAGTTTAACCACTTTAAAAAAAATGGAATTTATCTTCATATATATAATTCGTACTTATAAAGTTTTGTTTCGTATTTATTTCGTATTTGTTCATTCGATTTTTTGATTTTTTAAAATTTATTAGATAAGATTTAGATTTATTAGATAAGATTTCTTACCTTCTTTTTGTAATAATTTTATTTATTTTCTTGACGTAATAACCAAATTTTTGTTGGAATTATTTCCAGTATAAAGAATGCTATCTCTGATAAGAACAAATCTGTTATCATTTCATGTTTATTCATAAACCCGTCTATTCATAGCAAATATCAAGCACTTTTTTTTCCACAGATATAAAAAGTGAAAATAGTAAGAAATAATTGTTCCACAGATGAAAAAAATCTTTTCTTCATAATGGACTAAAATACGCATGATAACACCGACGTGGATCAAATATATGGATATAAAATTTCAGTCATGAAAATAAATGCAAAAATTAATTCGCAGTGACATTAGTCTCTCCAATTTAATACAATTTTTAAACTATGGCTTAAACTGCTTGATATTTTCATTTTCTACGAACCAATTTTTCATTTACCACACAGTAAATATCTCCGAAGCGTCGAAATTTAACACGCCTTCTGTTATACTATTGTATACTTGCGAAATGCGAATTAAATTAGGTATACATTATATTATACTATAGGAATTTGTTTATTATTAAACCCACACCACATTTCCTCGCTATTACTATTACTGCATTACTGGCTAAAATAAATGCCATAAATAAATAAATAAATGTATATATACATATACATATTTATATATAAATTACATAAAATTAAAGATCACATAACATTGAAACAACTGAAAAAACAAATTAGAAGCTATAACAATGGATAGAAAAAGAGACAAGAAATAAAAGAACAATTTTTTTTTAAAGAAGTAATGAATCAACCACAAATAAAAGAAAAAAATATTTTAATATTTTGATATTGCTGAGAGGTTTAAGTTTCAAAATTGAGACATAAAATCGCGATAATATAGGATTAGGAAACATTTTTACAAGAATCCGTTAAGAATGAATCCTTATTATTTCTTTTCAGAAATTGGACCAGTGATTGAACACTACAGACAAAATTTCCAGTAAAAATCCCACGACTGATGAATGGGTGTGAATTACCATAGATCTGAAGTAAACTTAAACAATACTTGAAGTAATAAAGAATGGTTGAAATCATAAATTGAAGAATAAAGTTTTTCACATAACAACTGATCAAATGGAACGAATTGCATTATTTCCATACAATCGTCTGAAATCAAAATTAAATAATTTTTTTCTGCTCCAAATAAATTTTCAATAAATTTAAAGATAATTGAGCCGTAAACTAACAAACTGACCATAAACAAATTAAACTTCTATCTGTTATCTATTTTCTATTTTATTCATTCATGTTTTCTAATCTACAGAAACTCGTTCTAATAAACCATTCCACATATGTAAAATTTTTTAAAAAAAGAAAGTAACATACCTTCTATAATCATATAAAATGAGCTCAAAAATTGATCAATAACTTCCAAACTTAAGACTTCTTGGCGCTGAAAAAAATTTTTCAGTAATACTCGAAAATGGTATTTGATGAACAGATAAATTTTAGGAATAGGATTGACCGAGACAGAGACTTACGGGCTCACTACAGTGCAAAAGTGTTTTAAATTGATCGCAATCAGGTTCATATCGTAGGACGACGTTTTCGAAGAAAAGAGAACAAAATGAAACAAAGGAAAATGAAAAACGGGTAAGAACGAGAAAGATACCAGATGGCGAACAAATTTCGACCGATTTTATCTGAATAACACAAAAAATTTACAATAATCATTTTAAATTAGGAGGCACTGAATTTAACTAAAAATAATTTTTGTGATATATCTTATTTTTTGCTACAACAATATTTTCCCTTGTGGTTTCTCCAATATTTTTGAAGTGAATGTAGATATCAGTAGAAAGAAAAAATTCTATTCTACATTGAATGGTTTTGCTTATTTATATAGATTCCACGAGATAAAAAGAAAAGAACAAAAAATAAAGGACACGAAAACTACTCTTTGAAAATTTTCAGCGAAATAGTAAAGAAATTGTTTACCACAAAGCCATTATGCAGAAATTTACAAAATCTCCGCAACATTTCAATCCAATCCATTTCTGAATCAATCTGATCCGACATAATTCTAATAAAAGATTGTCCATCTTTGTTACGGTATTCTTCAACACAAAAATTGCTTTTACTTGTATTGGAAATTCTTTGACTGCGAACGTCGAGAAAATCCACTAAGTTCTACGGTTTTTTTATATTATAATTAGAACATTAAAAAGAACAAAAATATTACTGCAACAGATTTCGACTTTGGATAAGCAGAAAATTTTTAATTCTATCTTTCACTTTCCACCACTGAATTTACATCAAAACAAACCATTTTTAAGGCATTGCAAACTGCAAAAATTCGCGGCTCTGTAAATAAAGAATGCGATAAGCCATTGTATGAAGTTTTACCCAAAATGAAACCATTTTTCATAAATTCCAAAGGGTTATTAAAAGAATTTAACCAGCTGCAACAAGATTGCCAACAACGCTCCAATTTATAATTGAAACTACCGATTTGTTGATCACGAATGGCCATAAAAACCTGGAAAAGATCAATAATGCTTTTTTTTCAAAAGTGTAGCTCTTTACAAATTGGAAAGGATTTGATTTTCCTAATCTTAATGGTAATATAATTAGACGAGCCTCGCATATCTTAGCTGAAATAATGGATGAAAATCTTGACTTCTACCTTGCAGAACCATAGTAAAAAGAAATCCTCAAAATACTAAATTTTATTCGCACTATTAATTACTGGAATAAATTACCGAACGATGTATTTTATGCATCATCCTTAGCTATTTTTAAAAAAATGTTAGATAATACAATTTACGATATTATTTATTTATTTACGATATTATTTAATTTACGATATTATTTAAAAAAATGTTAGATACTATAATTTACGATATTATTTGATATTTTCATATTATTGAAGTTTGAAATCTTCATTTTAACCATTTGATTATGTAATAGATTCACTTCGAATTCAATTCGAACTGTGCTATTTTGTAACTTTTCTTGTTTAATTTATTAGTTTTTGTCATATTTTCTTTTTTTATCATTAATTTTCATTATTTGTTATTTTATCTGTTGTTATTAATGCAAGCATATGGCTTTTGTCGCCTTGCTCGCTTAGTTTTCAATAAATGATTTTCATTGATTTTAGTATCCCTGCTTCATTTAATCCCACTTTCCCTTACTTTTAGTTTATAGCATTTTTCAGTTTAATATCCGAAACAAAAATTTCAGTTAATTTTAATTTCAGCCAAAATTGTCTATATAAAATTCTGCTTAGTCTCCAAAGTCCTTCTCTTGATTTTATTATTTTTGAACAAATTCGTTTGAAACATCAGATGAACATTTGAAACATGAGCAAATTCAAAGGATCTAGATATTCTCAAATCTTTTCATGAGACCATAACTTTACTAAATTTCATAAATGATTCCAAAAAGAAGAGCATAAAGAACCAAAAAATTAACTTACAATTTGGCCAGCTATATTTATGAGATCAATGTCAGTGATATCTGTTGATAATGCTGATAACGATTGCATAATTTTAAAATTCCAAGGAGTTCTTAAAATATAACTTGATTTTAAAAAAACAAAAATAACAAAATAAAAAAACATTCGCGAAAACTTACTCTAACAATGATTTTCCCCATATTAGAAACTCCGGTTCAATCAAAGAAGATCGCGAAGCCAATTTCATTCTCTTCATAAAATTTTCGCAAACAAAATTTTTCTTTTGTTTAATTCTTTGCTGAAGCAATTCAAAGAATAAATCAAACTTATTCGCAGTTATTCAAATGAAATAAAAATAAATTTAGCTTGATCGGAATTAATATTGGAATGAATAGGAATTATTAAAAGTAAAATGTAAATATATTGTAAACCCAGTTGTATTTTAATCTGCAATCCATTCTCTGGCGAAAGGTTTCATCCTAATGGCTTGCAAGGCCAAGCAAAAATGCTTTTAGGAAAAAAAAAGAAGCATAAAAGAAAACCACTTTTCGTCCAAAATTTATCTGACATTATAATAAAGTAAGGTAAAAAAAACCTCAAGCCAATTGGTAAGCCCATTTTGAAAAAGATCTAAATTGAATTCAATCATTTCGCGTTGATATTTCGAAAAAAAATAAGCACAGTTATAAATGACCTGAAATCAGAAATAAATGTAAATATTGTTGGAAAATATCAAATTCTATAACTGAATAAAAGAAACATTAAAAAATGGGAAAATACCGTCCAGAATTGATTTATCTCCATTTCATCATAAATTTTCTTCATAGGCAGATAGCTTTCGCAGATCAAATAAACCTTAACTGATCCAATTCAAAATATAAATCCCAACGTAAAAATCTAAATGTGAGAAAGTGCATATTTTCAAATATGCACTTTCATAAAAATTATGAAAAATGGTTTCAGAAATTAAATTCAATTCAATTGATATCAAATTTAGAAAATTCAATAAATGGTATCTATTATAAATTTAAAAAAAGCTAAGATTCAGAAAAAAAATGATTTTGAGACATTGATCAAAATAAAAGATTAGACTCACTTCAGGATTTCCAGGTTTACTTGAAGAGGGTTTGAACATATATAATCTCTCGAATGATGTAAACAAATCAAAAATAGTTTCAACAGTTTCTTTACGGTAAATTGTATACATTTTAATCACAAAACTTCCATTAGGTCGTAAAAGATCCAAAGCGATTTGAATGGCTTTTTTGAATAAAGGTAAAGTATTTTTTTCTTGGTTTTCAGGGTCATCCTCAAAAAAATAAAAAATTTGAAATTAAACATATTTCAATTATTCATCCGAAACATTTTTCCGTATTTTTTTAAGAAAAATTGGCAATTTTAAACAGAAATCTCCTTTTTCAATAAAATACTGCTTAATTAGTTGAATTAGTTATTTCCTTTTTTCCATAATATCTATCTCTTATTGTCATCAATAAGAGAAAACTTAAAATAAGAGAAAACTTAAAAAGCATTAAAATGCTTGAATTTACCTGGCAGTTGAAACTGCCATCGGCAGTTATCAGATGAAACTTGCCAGTTTTACAAACGATATAATCCAGATAATTCTGCGTCCAATTAAATATATTCCCACTATTATCTGGTCCAAAAAGCCATTTTGCATAGCTCTTCGCGATTAATGTATCATCCAAAATCATATTAGTTGGTTCATTCCATTCATAGTAAGGATTTAAGCTGAAAAAAAGAATTGAAAAAGATAATCATAACAAAAAATCATAACAGAAAATCATAATCATAACAGAAAAATAATCATAATCATAACAGAAATCTTGAACTTATATGTAAAGAAATAATGAAGTGCCAATAATATGAATAATTAATCAACTTCAAAAATTAATTAAATACCTATTTGCACGCCAAGACCAATGTACTTCAGATACATGAAGCTTAAGATAGATGGCAAGTGCTACCACGAAAGCGCCAGGAGCCTCGCATAAATGCAATGAGCTGAAAAAATTTTAATTCGACCATTTTAAATCCAAATAATTATAAGCCAACAGTAAAATCACGGATATGTTCAGCATATGCTTTTGAATACAATTAAAATAACCTAAAATTCGCTGAAGTGACTGCTTCTGAGCACAAATAGGGGAAGGACATTAAAATTTCGTAAAATTTACAAAAAGCCTGGGTACAACAAGGAAATGAATATTCTTTGGATAAATAAGAAGGAAGATTTCGCAAAGGATGAGTTCGATCAGTATGACGACGCCACTGTAGATTTTTATAATGAGGCACACGCTTCTGCAAAACATAAAAGAAATTTTATTTTTATGGATCGATATCACTCATGAAATTAAGAATATCAATGCTAATTTAATCAGAAAACCACTAACCTTTAACTGATTCATAGAATACTCCAATTCAGTTAAAGAATTCAGCACATCAATGGTTATTTGTTGTTTTTGTCTCTTTTTGTCTTTTGTCTCTTTTTTCAAATTAAAAATTTTAACATTCAAATTATGTACAACATTATCATACCGCTTTAGCAGCTGACAATCCATGTTTCCTGGAAATATTTATCAAAAAACCAAAACAGTATTTAGACAGAAAAATTCGAATGAACCAGCCATGAATACGACTAGGATCAATCAGGTAACTCACGCTAAAGCTCTATATGAAAAAACTAATCAAAACAAAATGAAAAAAATGAAAACAAATATGGCTAACGAAATGAAAAATTTAAGAGAGGAAAAAAATTCAAGTAGGCCGAACAATTTACAATTTACACAAACTTTTTAAAAGCTGAATCCGCGAATGGAATTTTTGATTGGAAAATTTACCTAATCTTTGATAAAAGTAAAGAGCCTATCCTCCAACTTCATATCTTTATCTTTCATGAATAGACTTTCATGAAAATATAAATATATAATTATATAATTCGATAATTTCGAATAAATCAAATTGTGACGAGTTAAAAATTAAAAAAATTTATAAGAAATACTTTAAAAATCAACAAATGCGACAACAAATTTGGTTTAATTCAACAGAAAATTTCAGGAATAGAAAACTTAAGACAAAAAACGGAAAAATTTTTTGCAACTTCGCCATGAAGAAGAATTCGAGTAGAACTGGCGATCCACTAGTTCCAATACTAAACGACTCTCTGGCGAAGGAAACAACCAAAAGCAACCAGCAAAACCAAAAATGACGAATGATTATAAGAAAAAAATATATAAAGATTTAAAATCTAAAACCCTTGTCCGATGAAAAGCCACAGAATTATAAAAATAATAGCAAATTTAGAAGAATTATCGAGAATTACTTTGCAGTGCACAAATTAAATAAAGCATAGCAACTGATCATCATTTAGAATTTTCCAACGCATTGATTGCTTCATTCAAATGAGCAATCTCTGATTTATAAGCATCCACCTGAAAAGTAAATTTAGAGATATGAATGAATAGCCAATCAATAATCCCCTGGCAATAATAAATAAAAAATATAAATAAAAATAAATTCCTAAATAAAAAATTCCACGAAAGACTTCATAAAATCTTTGAACTTTAGGAACAGAATACTATATAAAAAACTATCCAGCAAATAACCTTTTCTGCATTATTAACTCGAATATTAAGTGGCACTCTATCCAAATAATCAACCATAGTTGTTTGTTCTTCTAATTTTCGCAACTGTTCAAGCAATTTATTTCGCTTAATATAAAGTTTGTTCAATTCTTTTCCCATATCAATTATTCCCTGACAAATAATGATCAAAAATTAAATAGGACTTGTGAATAATTTCGTATGTTCATATAAAAGTATTTCAAACCAATAATAATTGATAACTCTATTTATCTCAAAACTCAAAATTATTGAAAAACCTAAAAATCTACAAATTATGAATTTATTTGAAAACTTACCTCTAAAGCCAAGGCAATTTTGCATTTAGCTGATACTGTCACTTGTGCACATCCATTAGGTATTTGTGATACACCTTCTGCTTCCAAAATAATGACCTGAATTTAAAAAAAAAAGGTTGACAAACCTGATTATAAATTATAAATTAATAAAATTCTGCCAATTAAAAAACCTTGTTTGACGATGCCAATGTACCAATAAAAGAAGAAAGATCACTTATATCCACCGAATCTAATTCATAAAATATATACACTGAAAAAAATCGATAGCATAATCTGAGACAATTTAAAGAAATTTAAAGAAATGAATGAATAAGCCAATTCAAAAACCAAAGATAAATTTTGAACTTACAATCAGTCTTAATTTTCGGTGTTAAACCGTAATCGGAGCGAAGAGAACGAACTGTTTTCACGATTTCCATAGCTTTTAAAATTCGAAGTTCAAGTTCTTCATTTCTATATGGATACTAAAAGAAAAGAAAAAAGAACAAATAGAACAAATTACAAAAAAATAATTATAGAAAAATGATTAGAGAAAAGAAAATAAACGTTGCAGATTAAATACAGCAAATAAAAATTGATTTAAAATACTGTTCATAGACCATAACAGAATTTAGCTGAATACAAATTACAATTTAAAAAAGTTTTTATGGGCCTTAGTGAAAATTAAAGAAAAAATAAAAATAAAATATCCAACTTGAGACACTTGTGGATATTCAGCAACGCAAATACTTGGTACATTCATGTTTGATGGCTTTCTCACAAATCTCTGCCAAAGTTCCTCAGTAATGAATGGCATGAATGGGGCAAGTAAACGAAGAGCTGTATCCACACATTCATAAAGTACGAATTGAACAGCTAATGATGATCCTGATTCGCCTATAAAATTAGCTATTCTTTTTATTAATCATTTTTCAAAAAAATGTTCGAAAAAATTTTTTGAATGTCCGTTCCTGATTCATTATGTCAATCCCTATTCTTATAATCCTTAAACAATTTGAAATTTGCTACGAAAAATTAAGACTGTGGCGATTGTTATGTCTGAGAAAGAATGGCCGAAAATCAGCCACTTCCATGCCAGGACATACTAGTAAGAAGTGTGCTAGTTTAGTATCGGAAACAATAAATGAAATATTTACTAAAGCACGAATATCAAGAGATCAAGACTAGACTCCGACTATCAAATGCTTCAAAGAATTACAACGACGGCTCGGTGGGATAGAAGTCATTAAGGGAATGGTTAGAAATGGAGAGGCTCGATTAGCCGATAACAGGAATGCAGCCTTCTTCACTACAGCAAAGCAGTTATAACTCAAGGAATAAAAAATGGAAAAATGGAATAAAAATGTTAAGAGTTATTTAGGGTCGCCTCGTGAGATGGAATTTTTTGACTGCAAACTTAACCACATATGCCATCTATTGTGTTAGACATAGCTGATCCGCTCATCTACCTATACGTTTGCGATTGCGAGCAAACAGAAAAAAAAACAATCTTCGCTATACATAAACTTAAGACTAATAAAATTCCCGAAGAAGATGGTCCGGAGCTGAACTCTTCAAATGTTTTCCATCGTCCTTCATAACACACCTTCAACAAATTGTACTCTCTGGCATGGAAAAAAAAATACCAAATGACATAAACAAAGCGATTCTCTTTCCAATTCTCGAGAAAGGTGACAAGACATATTATAAGGAATCAGCCTACCTATTAGACGTCTCCAGGAAAATTTTTTTCCCATCTACAGAGCTATCATCAGTTCAAATTCATAAAACTTTGAAGAGAAATGAAACGCGACGATATTCCAGGGATCATTCGACTCATAAAGAAATTTTATCAACATATATCGGTATAGGTCTGTGCATACGGGTTGAGACTTTCTCGAAACAAAAACTGGTGTCCGTCAGAGCTGCGTCGTTTCCTCTACATATTCAACTATGCGATAGACTGGATAATGAACATTGCTTATCAGCATTCAAGAGGTGTGCAAATCATTTCAGAGAACGGATTTTGAATATGTTGTCCCTTTTGCTGACAGTTATGCAAATGCAAATAATGTGTCAAAAACTGCAACCAGAATCGGACTCAGGGTTAATATAAATAAACCTTTTCTTCTTATATACAAGATAAAATATACATTTTTATCAATTAATTTATTGCCAGTTGAGGAAGTACTCTTTAAAAAAAAAGCCGTTCAAATACCACTTCCAATAACAATATCATCACAGAGCATAGCCTTCGCTGGTTAGAGCAAGTTCTTTGTCACCTACCACAAAGTTGACACTTCGTTATCTGCTAAGCCAATCAAGACCTGGACTAATACGATCTTAAAAGTATAGGTGGATCAGCGATACATGAACTTAAATGATGAAAAAAAAAATGGCTTCTATACTATAAGCGATGGCATTAAGAAGGCATCGAAAAGCCTGGAAATGCCTTACCCCGGTGGTCAGTGGAGCCATCCTAACTTGTAATGGTGATAGCTATTAGAAGAAAAATCATTTTTCGACTATATTTATATATTATATTTATTATTTTAAATATAATATATTTAAAGTAATGAAAAAAGATACCGACTTTGCAACAGAATTGGTTTGGATCCTTCAATGAAAATATCACAAAAATCATACAACCAAAATCTATATAGTGCATTAGCCGCCACATGAAAATTATAACTTGATAATCCCGATTGACAAGCTTCAATTGTAGCAGATAACCGAGAAAGTATCCATTTATCCAGCAAAGATGAACATTTTAGTAACTAAAAACAGTAAAGAAAATTAATTTTATCTGTGTTTGTCGATGAGTGTTGCATACTATTTTAATAATGAATTAAGGAGATATTCAATTTGAATTTTAAAAAAATATTCTATTATATCCTTTTAATGAAGAAATTACTTGAAAAGGATCCAGTGGTTTGAAATCGATATCGAGCTGCATTAGCGTAAACCTCACCGCTTGCCAAATCTTATTACAAAAGAAGCGATAACCTTGCACGCGCAAAACATCAAGGTTTATATCTCTACTTTGACTTGTGTAACTTATCAATGCAAAACGAACAGCATCCGTACCGCATTCTGGTATACCATGTGGATAGTCGCGAGACTGACCCTCTCTTGCTTTTTCAAGCTCGCTAAATAAGTGGAAATAGAAAGTATATAAAGGGAAGAACAAAAAATCACTACCGTTCATCGAGATTCCCAAATTCGAGTTTTTTATTCAAATCATCGAGTGATATGCCATGAATCACATCAATAGGATCGACTACATTGCCCAGTGACTTGCTCATTTTACGACCATGTGCATCTCTGATCACTGCATGAAGAAAAACCTAAAGAACCAATTGAAAGTTAATCAGTTAGTTTAATTTCAAATTTATAATATAAACCTCCTTAAATGGTAATTGCCCAGTGAGCTCCTGCGACAAGAAAACCATGCGTGCAACCCAAAAAAATAAAATATCGTGTCCTGTTTCAAGAACAGAACTTGGAAAGAACTGTTTTAAATCCGACGTTTGATCTGGCCAACCAAAGATTGAAAATGGCCATATTCCGGAAGAAAACCATGTATCAAGAACATCTTCATCTGAAATAATTTTAGCATCAAAATTTAATTACTGAAAAAAATTTCTAGGAATATAGGAAATTTTAAAAATAATACGAGTCTGCAAATAAATAAGATTACCCCATTTAAGGGAAATTTTCTCTCTGGGAACACCGAAACGTTTGGCTGCTTTCTCGATAGCTTCTGTTTCCGTATGGGCACTTATCCAATAATTATTATCATCTGCATTACCAGGAGGTATTTTTTCATCATCCACAGTAACGAAATAAGACGGAATACGATGCCCCCACCATAACTGACGAGATATGCACCAGTCTCTGGAAACAAAGAAACAGTGATGAATCAAATTTTTACTAAGCGGTCGTTTCAAATAAAATATTCTCGATTTACTTTTGTGAATTTATTTTTCATTTCTCAATTCAGTTAATTCTTAAACTTCTAATTTTTTTGAGTCACTTTTTTGATTTTTTTCTTCATAAACTTTTAATTTTTTTACCAAACAACGATTAAAAGAAGATAAATTAAAATTAAATCAATTAAATTAAATAAATTACAAATCAAATCAACTGTATAATATATATTATATATATATATATATATATATATGTGTATATATATTTTATATATACATATAGTTATAAATATATATTTATATTTATCAAATTCAATTCTCTTTTTCCTTTATTTATTTTTTTAAAATTTCATTGTCTATTTTATTATTTTCTTTAAATTTTTTTTTGTCTTTGGCAGGAATAAAACCTGCAACTATACCAAAAATTTAAGTGGCTACTGGGGACCCACCTATATCGTTACCCCCAAGTGATTCTGTGATGAAGGGATCAGATATTTTTGAGATGGCGTCCGTATCTCGCTATGCGCATGA